TCGTTCTGAACTGTCTTATTGGTTATAGCTTGAATGGTGTATAGGCAAAGAGTGCTGCAATGTTTGTTGATACAAATCAAGCAGCAGATGCGAACGATTTGGGTGGTGAATATGCGAAAGGATCACACAGAGACGGACGGCTAATAGCATCAGAGCGATCCGCACAAAGTCGACCATTTCAAACAACTTATCAAACGTTCAATGAAAACTTGGATAATTCTTCAGAAGATATTCTATTCTCGGAGGATTCGGCATCGTTTACTCAGCGAATCCTTGTCTCCGGTGATAGCCACAACGACTTCCGTGTAGCACGTCATTCAACACCAATCTCAAGATCATCACATCAAGCTGTCACTGTGAACGAAAAGAACGAGTTGACTGGAGCGTCAAGTACCTTACCGTCAGCAAGTTTTGAGCACAGACTTGTTGCGGGTCAGGACTATACGGATCTAAAAGCATTCGGAGGAACACAAAAGAAGCGTAAAGGTTGGTGATTTTAATGCGAATTCTCAAAATATCTTTCACTTAGAATGTTCTCTACTTATTGTTAGAATTGTGGTTTTTCTTATGACTTGAATTTTTGCATAATTTGAACGAGCACTTGAAAATAGCGAGCTTTTGATGAATCAAAGCAGTTTAATTGGAAAAAGTGAGTGGGAAGGTACTGGAAACAGACGGATGAGGTCCAATAGACGAAATTTTCATCGTTGCTTTAAATTTCAGGCCTTTGGCGTTCACGTTTGTCCATTGCCGAGGCTGGAAAACGTTTACTGTCTCGTCTAGGCCTTAACGGTCGTCGAGCCGCATCGCTTCGTTCGTTCGATTCAGCAAGTCTCATTGATTCTTCGCTGATTTCGAATAGTCACCTCCACAATCAGAGTACAAATAAAGACGATCACACACCGGAGCGTACACTTTCGCTGATTACAACCGGTCCAATTCGCGTGAAAAGATACGTCGAAAACGTTTCAGTTCATCCAGTTCAACAGCAACTGCCCGATAAAAATCAGGTTTCCTTTAATCATTTTAAAGCTCTCATCGTCTATTGCTTGTAGAGTAAAGTAAGATGTACGATGGAAATGTTGCTTGTAGTCTGACTGCGCTCTTGAACACCAATCTTATTTCTCGTCAATGGTTTACGCCTATCGTTCTGACGTAATTTGCATTGATTCATTTTCTCAATAAGTATTCAGCAGCTGAATGAAGTTTTTGGTTTTTTGTTTTCCCGTGTGAATTTTTCTTTTTTTGAGTTTATTTAGAATTTTTTACTTCGCGTGAATTTTTCATTTGATTACGTTACTTTAGGTGGTTAGTGAAATGCCCATATCTGAGATGCCGAAAAAACCAGAAACTGAAACTGAAGACGAAACAAGAGCCATCGAGCTATTCAAGGGAGCCAACGGTTCGTTTTCAAATTGAAATAATTTTGAGAATTTTAAGATACAGATTTATTGAAAATGAAACTGATAAATTGATTTATTGTGACAACAATGGTGGCTTGTCTTTGTTTATTCAACGCAATTATGTTGTCGTCTTGACAAGCCACTAACTTGAGTTTATTTCCGATAAAATTTCTCTTTGCACGTAAAATTTGAGAGTTTGAAATTTGATAAGGTTTAAGGATTGGGTTTCAATATAGTTGGAGGTACGGATAGTGAGCACATGCCAGGTGACAACGGTATATTCGTATCGAGAATTGCGTTAGGGGGTGCTGCCTATAACGACGGTCGTTTGAAAGAAGGTGATCGCATAATTTCGGTTAGTTCAGAATATTAAGAGTTTTTGGGCAATGAAAAGAAGACGTTTCGGAGATATAATGAGAGCAAATAAATAAGGGGAATTAATAGAATGTCGACTGGATTTAAAGGTGATCAGACTGGTGTTTGGAAAAATTAGATAAGGTTATTGCTCGCAAAAGGATTAACATTATCATAGCGGGGAACATTCAAATGCGTTTTTAAGGTGAATGGTATTGGTTTAAGTGGAAAAAGCCACGACGAAGCAGTGTCGGTATTTCGTCAGATCAAGCATTCTGCAAAGCTTATTATTGAGCCAGATGCTGACCGGAAGCTTGTTTCGGTTAGTTTTGTCTTATTTGAGGTCGTGGTTATCGATGAGTCTGGAACAGATCCGGATGCTTTATCTTTTGTTGTTAAGATCATTGCGTGATTTAAGCTCCAAGTGTATTTCAAAATGTTTATAGTATTTTAAAGACAAAGAGAGTTGTCTTAAGTCAATTTTAATTCAGTTGTCATTTCATTGCAATTATTCATTTCATTGTGATTAATATTATTAATGTAGTTGTCATCGTGATGGGTGAATAATAGTTGTGCAAGCGAGAAAATATTCACAATCAGTGAAATGAATGACGGAGGTTTTGTTAGCAGCATACGAATTTCGTATTGTACAAACTAGTTTTTTCATTGATGTGAATATATTACGAAACCCACATGTTTTTGCTTCTTTCCTATAGTACAGAAGGGTGTGGGAGTGTTCTCTTTTATCAATATTGCTGCCATTGTCATCATTATTATTATGATTGTTCTTGTATAATTATCATTATTTCAATTATTGTTGTCATAATGATTTTATTACAGTTATTATCATATTACAATTATACATTATTATTAATATTATTATTGTTCTCGTTACTACAATTATCATTATACAATTATTATTGTCATTGTGGTATAATTGCAAAGTTAAAATCTTACTGCGAGTATTGTTATTACTATAGGCATTATTGCTATACTATAGGAATTTTCGTTGAGTTTCGAATATAGTTGTATGCATTTCGCTGGTTTTATTTGATTGTCGGTCGAGAGTGTGGTTGATTAATGGGAAGGAGGACGCAATGTAGTGGAGTGGTTGTAACAATTTGTTTAAGTTTCTCTGATTGAAAGTGGCAATTTTGAGTAATGAACGGATGAAATGGAGTGTGTCAGGTGTTGTTATTATTAGATCGAGCTTATCAAACGTTAACATTCTGTGCTCTTACTTCGTTTTAGTTTTTGCTTTTGAACTCTTAAGTACATTTGAGTGCCATTTTGTTGACTTTGCTTCTCGTTATTCGTTCTATTGATTAATGTGTTATGAAGTGATAGACGGTAATTGGAGTATTCGTGATCAGTTTCATTGTGCTTTGCTTATTGTATGCTTATTGTACTGTGTTGTGGATGAGGTGCGACTGTCTGGAATGTTCGTTAAAGATTGGATGTTGTGATATGATGTGAATTTGAAAGTGAATTGACGAGTGATTTTTTATTCGATCGGAAGTGGTTGAAGCTGAAAGCACCCGTCTACAGTCTCCATCAGGTGCTTGCTTGGAGTGCTTTAATTAGGTGCTTGCTCGGTTACGTTCACGATACTTTGCTCTCGCTTCCAGCCGTTAACTTGTATTGATTGATCATCGAAATTTTTCTTATTGTCACCGGTTTTGTTTTTTGTTGCGTTTATTGGGCTATTTATTATTTTAAGCGAAAATGATTGCACCTTTCAGTTTTCAACTCGACTGAAGTTACTTAGTAACATCGACATGAGCTCATCTTATTTATCGTTCTAGGTGAGCGGTTAAATGGTGGAATGTATTCGAAAGATCTCTCGATAACGTCACAATATCGTTTTTCGTTTTATAGAGGAGGTTCACGTGCTGTGACGTTATAACACGTGTGCTCGTTCGGGGCTGTTTTGTTTGTGTTATCTTTTTATCAATTATCGATACCAGTGGCTGGTTTATCAGTTTTGCTGATCATTATTATAAATTCAATGGTAGAAAGGCACTAATTTAATTTGATTTTAATTCATTCAGCTCCACATCTAAAATTTGTTCTCTTTTTAAATATCGCATGAAATCATTGAGGTAAAATAGTTCGATTTTCGTGAGAATTACAATTGTGCTGAACAACTTTTGGTTACGTTTCGTAAATGTGGTAGTATGCGTGAAGATGGTTGATCTTTTTTTGTGTTTTTTTTNTTTTTTTTGGAGCAAAGTTTCTTTGTGAAGAATTTGAATTCATTCAAATTATAATGGGATTTTTAATTCAAAATTTTTACGAGAATTTGGTCATTATCCTCGTAATGCAACTTATGAATGCTTTCGAATAGGAAAGAGAAATTGAGGAAAAAGTTTCGGAAAAAATAAGCCAATTCAAGAGATAAGCTGGAGTTTTAACTGAAGTGATTGAATTCACAAAATTTGTTATTGTTTATAGTACAGAGAAAAGTTTTCCTGCTTTGCGTCTTGTGAGCACATTCAGTTCATTCTTTTGCGATGTGTGTCGTAGTAATGATAACGATAACAGCGATGCGTGTTTTTATTGGTTTGTTATTTACGTACGTTCATGTGATTGGAATATTTTTGTTTTGATTCCATCTTCAAAACAATTTCGATTCTATTGCGATCATTTTATTTCATTTTCATTGTTCATTGCCATGTCGTTGATGGGTCACTTACTGTTTGACGAGTGAAATCTCGAAGATAAGTTCAGTTTTGATCGGAGTTAGCGATTTTAATCCTATATTGGATATAAAGGGATATACTATATTGGATATAGGTAGAGTATGAACGGTGTCTATATGCGTACTAAAAGTTTATGTGGCGTTGAGTTAGGTCATATTTTACAACTTTACAACTGCTTTCATTTTTGCACAGCAGATATTTATTCATTTGTGTTGTTTGCACTGCGAGCTGCAAATTTTTGCATCGGTCGAGTGAAGAATGTTGCTATTGCATTCAGTTTTGTGTTGTTCGTGTTCGTTGTGTTTTCATTGATTACATTTGTCTCAGATGAAGAGTATCTTTCACGTTTCATAGGGAATTTTTTTTAAACGATTCGTACGTTGTCGTTGAAAAGCAGTTTGTGAACTCTTTACGAGCTATTCGACATCTGAATAATTGACAGTTAGCGATATGGGTTGGATGATTTTGAGTGTTGTTGTGATACTTCAGAAGCCAACGAATTTCTTGCACGGCACAACTGAAGTATCGGCAAAGTTGTCATCGGAAGCGGAGATTGCGGGTGGACGAAGTGTTCGAATTGTTAGCACTCCACCGAGTGAATCTGCTAAAACTGCAAGATCGAGCTCTGAACGAACAATGACCACGGCCGAGCCACAGAGAGGTGAGTGACTAGAGCAGATTTCTTTGAGAGATATCTTATCGTAGAGTGGGCGATTCATCCGGAAAGAAGAGTTTAGATGGAATTTGCAGTGATTTTACATGAAATCTGAAATTTGATTGATTTCAATCGGAATTGTAGTGAGCGATTTTTGCGATAATTTTGAGGTGATAAGACTATCGTTTTCAAGGATTTTGATTTTCAATTAACTCTGTGTTTCTGCTGCTTCAGTCGTGTTGGCTTCCAATGGCTATCCAGCGTTGTCGGTGTCAAGCATTCACAGCGATGACAGCGGCACTTTGAGGACGGCTACATCACCCTTCTTATCATCTCGACTTCATACGGGTACTTACTTAATTTCTGTTTGTTATGGCTTGTGGATCTGGAAAGACCGGAAAAAGTTTTGAAATTTTGTTGAAGGCCGAAATTTTCGTTTTTTTTTCGTGTTGTTATCTACATTTGTTGAGTTATTGTGTGACAGTGGAAACTGAATAATTTCTTAGCTGTTCTAGGAGTTTGTTACGACTCAAATAATGTAATTGTTTCAATCATTGGGTCGCTTTTGAATTAATGATAGTTTCGTTGTTAGGTGTAACAGATGTAAATACGGCTAAATACTTGGAGACCGAAATTGGTGGTAGTTTGAAGCCGAGCAGTGGAGTTGGGCTGGTTGATAACAGTGAGAATGATGATGGTGCTTCGACGACAAGCGCTGCGCCGAGCACGCATTCGATTATAGACGATGTACCGAGAACACCCAAAAAACCCATCAGTATATTGGATCCCGCAAGGTCGGTGTTTAATTGGCTTGATTGCTCTTTTGTCGTGAAGGCGCACTTTAGATTCAAGATTGTAGTAGTTCAATTGTGGCATAGTCCAGCTGGAAAGTTTAAAATTCTATCAGAAATGTTGATAATTCACTGGCATAGTACAGCTGGAAAGTCTAAAAAAAATTAAAGATATGTTGATGAAAACTCAAGTGTTTTTTCAATATTCGTTTTTAAAAAATATTTTCAAGTTAAGGATTTAAAATGTTTACATTTCAAATTCTTAACGATTTCAACGATGATTCGATTGCAGCCCATCGATGTTGACCGAAGCATTGTTCGTATCAGTCGGGATAGCTGCGATAAGCATTGGTGCGTATGCCATATATCAGTTTGTTAAACGTCGATAAGAAGATTTACTGTTATCGTTATAACTGTAATGATTGGACATTGATTTCGGATTAACTGTACTTTGGTTGTTCTCTTGGAGGCTTCGTTTCGTTTCAATTATTTTGATGTGTGACGTGTTGAATTGCGTACTATGTACTCTGTTTTATCGTCTTTTTTTAAAATTTTTGTTTTACGGCTGTTGAGCAGTTTTGGTTTGTTGTTTTTCCGAAAAGTTTATTTCGGTGAGTCTGGATCACAAAAAAAAAACTGTGAGCTTTGCTAGACGAAAAGCTACTTTCGAATGATGCTGAAAGGAGTGGTGGGTCATCATAATCACATGAAGATATGCAGCAAATATTTTGAGTTTTATATAATGCCAATGCTTATTATTGTATCAATTGATTCGTTAGTAAAATGGAACAAAATCCATTGGTCTTTCAGAGTTTTTGTTGTTTTTTGTGGATTCATTCAATTCGTTCTCATTGATTGGTATTTGATTCTCGTAATCAAGTGTTTTTTGTTCGTGTTTATCGTGAATGTAAATTTGATGCGTTCCACGAGGAATAAAGATGATATCTTATCTTATGATCAATCAGTGTTTACGTATAATTCCAAATAATACGATAAACAAAAGTCGACGATTAAATTTGAGCAAAAAAAAACGAGAGCATGAAAAACGGATAGTTTGATCAAGACAAAATTGTTTGTGTTACTGACTACCAAAAAATTTTTCAAGCAGAATTTGCGTTCGAAGAAGTTGGAGACTTCATCGAGTTAATGACATTTAGACGGTCACGGCAAGCACTAACATTCAAACACCTGCACAGAAAATTTCAGCACAATAGAGGCCAAATTTACTTATTGCATAAATTAGCTATGCCCATTTAGAAGTAGAAATGGGGCAGTAAAATCTTTACCGACAAGTCATTATCGCATCATTCATATTAACAAAGTTCCGTAGAGACCAG